ACTCTCATAGAGCAATGAATGTTATTCCAAGCAACTTACAGGATTTGTGTAGCCTAAAGCAATGACTCATTGGGGGACTATAATAACAATTGAGCCATATGAATTTCCCAAGATTCAAGAATTATGAACAGATGAATATGGTTCATCCTAAAAGCTAGCAAGTTGCTAATTCTTGAATTTTTTACCTGACGTCAAATTATCAGAATAAAACATTTTTAAAGCTACTAGAGCTATGTTGGATAGTAGAAGGACTTAAAGGATACATAAAGATTTTACAAATTTTGAAGACACATGATTGATTATACTATTTCATGTGATGCTATTAAAATAGTTATAATGTCTAATTCCATGGATCAAGTTCTCTGTGTCCATGTCAACAAATACCATTTTATTTAGACAGCATTCCTTCCACAGCCCTAGGCAACCTGAGATATCTACCCTCGTGGGTGTTTTAGGTTGAAGTTCACAGTGGATATCATGAATCCCAGGGCACTATCAGATGAACTAAGATTTTTTCCTTGCGTTACTTATTGCTCCCAAGAGGTTTTCCATGTGGTTGGGTTTTCTTGCAGCCCTGAGCTTACTTATGCCACAAAGGAAGGCTACTTTTATGCTTATCATTTCTTTCCCACAATGTAACAGTTTTGAAAGTCTCTAATTTGGCATCTATATAACTGTTTTGTCATCTAGATATTGTTTTGATTAAACTTGTGTGCGTGTGTTGTGTGTGTTTGTGTGTGTGTGTGTGTGTGTGTGTGCATGTGTGCATGTGTGCCAGTGCCAGTACTGGCTGGTACTTAAACTTAGGGCCTCATGCTCTCACTTGTCTTTTTTTGCTCAAAGCTAGGGCTCCACCAGCTGAGCCACACCTCTGCCTCTGGCTTCTTGCTGCTTAATTAGAGATAAGAATCCTTGAATTGGTCTGTCCAGGTTGGTTTGGAACCTCAATCTTCAGATCTTAGACTCCTGAGAAGATGGGATTACAGGTATGAGCCACAAATATCCAGCTATGATTAGACTTAACAACAGCAACAACAACAACAAAAACCTATGCTTCCTGTATTTTTGAAACTATATGTAAGAAACAGGTAGCAGTAGCTATTGGGGAAGGAAACCATCTTTTCTCTGTTTGGTGTGCTTTTTACATGTAATTTCTTTTGAATACCATGTAGTACTTACTAATGAGACTTTTTAAATCCAATTAATGTAAAATTTGGTATAACTCACTAGTAGAGCATATACTTATCCACATGCAGTCATGTGTTCAATCCCTAGCAGGCACATGTGCACATGCGCGCACGCGCACACACACACACACACACACACACACACACACGCACACACACCATAAAATGTAAGCAAAATATTTTACTTGCAAAAGCACAGTGCCCCTCCCTACATAAATGTTTACATCCTGTTCTTGTTCTTCTTGATGACCTTACCCTTATTGTGATTTTTAAAAATAATAATTCTTAGGAACAGTGGGAGGTAGAACAGAGATGTTGATAATGCAACAGTTGTTTATTCTGCAAATATTTGCAACTACCTGTTCTGTGATAGGTCCTGGATTAGGTACTTCCTCCTCTCCACAACTTTTGGAAACTTTCTTGAATAAACATACCGTGTTTTTCGCCCTTTGAAAGTTTGCATGCTTAAAATGCTTCCCAGAGATAAGCAATGGTCTGTTCTCCATGAAAGCAGCAACAGGGACCTCAGGGATATTCACTCACAATATGGCACTGAGGTAGGTCCCAGATGTTTGGTTAAAGCAGGTAGTCCCTGATGATCTGCATATGAGTTAGATGATAATTTGTATAGAAAATGTGTGTGTGAGAGAGGGGGGGGGGACAGAGATGTTGATTTGGGCCAAACCTTCAAAGCTGAAAAAGTAATGATAAAGATAAGATTAAAGAGAAGGTAGTTGTAGTGGTGACTGGCAATTGAAACCAGTATAGTATGGGAATGTCTGACTTCATAAAATAGTTGCATCATCTAAATGCTGATTCCAAAAGTTTTCTTTTCTTAAAAAACCTTTTTGTACAAAGGAGCTGCCATTCTTTTTTTTTTTTTTTTTCCCAGTCATGGGGCTTGTAACTCTGGGCCTGAGCACTGTCCCTCAGTTCTTCAGCTCAAGGAGAACACTTTACTACTTGAGCTACAGCGCCACTTCTGGTTTTCTGGTGGTTTATTGGAGATAAGAGTTTCACAAACTTTCCTGCCCAGGCTGGCTTTGAACCACAGTCCTCAGATCTCAGCCTCCTGAGTAGCTAGGATTACAGGCATGAGACATCGCTGCCCAGCTCAGGAGCTGCCATTCATAAACCAATGCATCTTGATCAATGTCACCCCTTTCAACCTTCTCACTGATTCCAACGTTTTTGTTTGTTTCCCTTTTCTTTTCTTTTCCTTTCCTTTCCTTTTCCTTTTCCTTTTCTTCCCTCTCTCCCTCCCTCCCTCCTTCCCTCCCTCCCTCCCTCCTTCCCTCCCTCCCTCCCTCCCTTCCTCCCTCCCACCCTTCCTTCCTTCCTTCCTTCCTTCCTTCCTTCCTTCCTTCCTTCCTTCCTTCCTTCCTTCCTTCCTTCCTTCCTCCCTCTCTCCCTCCCTCCCTCCTCTCTCTCTCTGTCTCTCTTTCTCTCTCTCTTTCTGTGCTGGTACTGAGGATTGAACTTAGGGCCTAGAACTATCCCTAAGTTTGTTTGTTTGTTTTTGTTTTTATTTTGGTCGTGGGGCCAGAACTCTGGGCCTGTGCACTGTCCCTCAGCTCTTCAGCTCAAGGCTAGTGCTTTACCACTTGAGCCACAGCACCACTTCTGGCTTTTTCTGCTTATGTGATGCTGAAGAATTGAACCCAGGGCCTCATACATGTTAGGCACTCTACCACTGAGTCCTACTCAACACTAGGACTCTACCACGTGAGCCACAACGACTGGTAGTTTCTTACAGACTGCCTTGCCCAGACTGGCTTCAAACCATGATCCTTGGATCTCAGCCTCCTGATTAGCTAGGATTATAGGTATAAGCCACCAGCACCAGACCAACACCAAAGTTTTATAAACAACGTCCCAGCACATTCAAAGAGTTTGCTAAATCAATGAATTTGCTGCTAAGGCACACAGATAATAGGAATATTTCCATTTGCTTATTTAAGGTTCAATATTTAGAAAAAAACATTTCAGAGATAATTTTCTCCAAATCTTCACGTGAACTCTAGAATTGTCTTCCCTTTCGCAATTGGAGTAGCTTGTCCAACTCTAAACTTGACAGAGAAATGGTTGAGGTTAGACCAAAACCCTAAGAACCACGTGTTGGTATTAAACTGACCTGACCATCTCTCCAGAGACAGGCAGAACACATACAATGTTATCAGGGAAATCCCCCTGATAGAGCAAACATCCCCTAGATTTCTCCATTCCTACCAATATTTCCCCTGCAAACCACCTTTCTAGCTCTACTGCTTTGTCCATCTTCCCAGAGTTCAGTTTGGATTGTATTATTCACTTTCCCTAGCACCTCTCCTGGCCCCACACAGCCTTCAAAACAAAGTGCAGGCTCCATAAATTGGCAATCAGGTGCTCAGGCCTGATTGCCACTCCTCCAGTCCTCTTTTCCATTTCCATAAGCTAACTCTGGCCTCTTTTACCCCAATCAAGCTAGGACAAGGTAGGACACAGAATATAAAGTTGTGCCAAAGAATTCAGTAAGCAAGATTAATACAATACTTAAAAAAATAGAAATTCATGTAAAAATGCATGATGGAAACTTATCAAACTTTCAAATAAAGACAGGGTCCCTATCTGTCACTGACTTCCCACTTAGGTGCTTTTACTACATGAGAGTTCCTCAAAATTGGTCCTCACAACTTCTTTCTACATTAGTTATCTCTCTCTTTTTTTTTTTTTTTTTTTTAATGTGCCAGCGTTTATTAGCAGCTGTCTTCTGTCAGGAAAACCTATTTCCCCTAGTACTTTGAAGACAGTCTGAATCATCTTGGATCCTTTCCAGCTCCTTCCCAAACCAGAGTGGGCATTTGGCAACTGTATACACACACACACACACACACACACACGCAGACACACACACACACACACACACACACACACACACACACAGGCCATTGGCTCAAATTGGCTGAGCAGAAAAGGGACCCAGATAGTTTTGTTTGGTCCAGGAGATTGACTTTATTGTAAAGATTTTAATAACCAGGATATTTTACGTGAATAAAAAATGCTAGATTTCTGCCATTTATTGAAAAAAGCAGACAAACTCAGCAAAACCAGATCTGAATGCTTGTGGGCTACCACTGGGCACTTAGAGCCAAGCAGCTGACCTGCCTTCAGAGCTCTCTCCAGCTCTCCTCCTACCACCTCTTTCTCTCACTACATTGCCTGCCAGACCCCATTAGCTCTTGGAGTTTGCCACCCCAAGCAGGAAGGAATGAGTGGACTGAATGAAAAAAAAAAAATCTCCTGGGCCTACAAGCTCTTTCTTGTAGAAAGAAAAAAAATCCAAAACCAAAACACACACACACAACAAAAACAAACACAAGAAAACAAGCCAGGAATAAACGCCTGCTTCTACCATGGTCTCACACAGAGGCTCACAGAAGCACCCCATCTTTCTAGCCCACAAACTTCCAACAAGCTTGAAACTCGTTTTGCCTTTCCCATATTGACCAGCTTCTGCAGCGTTCTTGGCTCGGGGTCCGCGCCCCTACCCCGATCTTCCCTTCCCGCGCTTGCTTGCGTTCTCTGAGCTCCGCAGCCTGGGGCGAGCCGGGCCCTCAGCAGCACCCTCGCTCTTTGCCCCGGGCCGGGGCGCTCGGCTGGCTCGCCCACGGCTGCACTGGGCATGCTCAGAGGCAGCCGCGGGGGGCAGGTTGGCTTCGCAGGGAGGCGATCGCACTAGGCGGCGGCGGCGGCGGCGGCGGCGGGCGGGCGCGCGGCTGCAGCTGGAGCTGGGGCGCCCGGAGTTGGAGTTGCCGGGAGTTTCCCCCGACCCCTCCCTCTCCGCGCGTCGCAGCCGGAGCTCAAGCGAGCAGCCGCCAGCCAGCGCCGGGGCCGGCAGAACCTGGTCCGGAGCTCGGAGCTCTTCACCGAGCAGCTCCCGGAGAGGAGTGTCGCCGGTTGGGACGCGTGCCGCGCACTGGCACCGCCCGGGCACGAGCCAGGCTGCACGGTAGGGCTGGGGGGTAGGGGGACCCAGCGGTCCAGGTGGAGGCCAGGCCGTGGTGGGGTGGTGGTGGTGGTGGGGTTAGGGAGGCATGCGATCGCGGCTGCTGGGGCGCCGGTCCCAGGTCTGGGGCAGTGGGCAGGAGTGGGCGAGGGCCACGAGGGATGCTTTCAAGTTGGCGGGCTGCGGGAGAAGGGGCCGCGCGCTCCGGCGCGGTTGCTTTGTGCACGCGGAAGGGGACTGGGTTCGGATCCACTCCACACCTAGCAACCCGGTGTGAGTGCGAGACTGGGCAAAACCTCACAGCCCGAGCGAGGGTTTTCCTCCGAGAAAGTTGAGGATGGAGCCCTTCTTTCCTCACTGTCCCCCGTGGGAGCATGGGCCCACCCCGAGCGGGGGTAGGGTGTGGGGTGTGTGTGTGGGGGGGGGTCGCTGCGCACTTCCATGAAGCTCTTTCACTCCTTAGCTGGAAATCAGCACATCACCCCCGATCTTTATAAAACCTTGCCGTCCTTTAGGAAAATGACTTCTGCCCCAAACCCGAGGCGTGCTCTTTTTGGCGGGCACTGGCTCCCTGCCCCACCCCCACTTGCACCGGGCTTTGCACCGGGCGACGCGCTGCTCGCTCTTCCAGCCGCACACGGGGTCAAGGGCGCCAGGCTCCCAATTCTCTGTTAATGCTGCGCGCCGGAATCGTTCCTCACCCCCTGGCAGGACAGCGAGGCCTGAGTAGATGGATGAATTTTTCTTCTTGTCCACACTTCTGCAACCCCACCTGGTTTAACATCCCAGAGGTCAGGCTCTAGAGGGTCAGGTGGGAAGTTTAGAACAGCATAATTGTTCCTTAGAAGAGGGGGCGTGGTGGTGAATGTGCTTTTGATGACCACCCAGGACTTTATAGCTACCCATCTCGTGTTTCTTATTAATCTTCCACAGGGACTAACTGTGGGAAGGAATAAGGTCCAAGCAACAGTGCTCTCTGCCCCATTCCACCCTCTCCCTGGTGGCATTTTGGGTAACCCTAGGGCTGGGGAACTGGTGTTCTGCAGATTCCAAGGGTATGGAAGATGTCAGTGTTTGTTTGTTTGTTTGTTTCCCTGGCTTCACTTTCTTTCAGTTCTTGTTTTGAGTTTGGGGGTTTTGCTTGCACACGAGTCACAGCTGAGCTGTCATAACCCAAGGGGGTGTTTGAGCTTTAGCTTAGGCACTGAGCCCTTGTTCGCCTCTGAGGCTGCTAGTGGGAATCAGTCCAGAAAAGATTATGCAGGCTAGAAATATGCTTCTCTTTTTCTTTTTTGGCTGAACACCTTAGCTGTTGCGTTTGTATGTTAAGTTCTTAAAGGAGCACCCACACACTGCTCAAGTGCCCTGATTTAGGGGCTCACCAATGCTGCTTTAAGTTTTCTTCTGTGCTTTTACCTTGGGGTTAGGGCACTTTGGGAAATATTTCCCGACATGAGGATCAAATGATGCGACACAATGCACAGGTTCTAGAATGAGATAGGCCACATATAGCTTTCCAGCTCATTGCAGGGCGGATGGGCACATTATTAATCGTTCTGAACTTCAGTTTCCTTCTCTATCCAATGCGAGATAATCAGGACCTTAATTAGCCCTCTCCATTGCTACTATGATGCTTGGGAGAGATAATAGATATGAAACGTGTAAAACAAAACAACAGCAACAACAAAAACCCTTAAAATATCATTCATACCTTGGGTGTTGTCTTTGCATCTGATCTTTAAAATTTATAAATCCTTTCTCTAACAATCCATCCCCTTTTGATTCCTCATCAAGAGGTTTTGTTGCTCCATACTTTCCTCAAATCCATATTTCTTGATTTTAAGAGTTGGAAGTCCCTCACATCTCTCGGAGATTGGCAGTGTTGTATAGATTAGGAGACTACCATGGTTGCCCTATCAACATTTGTCATGCCAGGCCTCAGAATGTCAGGTCAGCAAGGCCTTGTTTTAAGAGCTAAGGATGATGAAGAAATCAGAAAGCCCTGGGATGGAACTCTGATTTGGCTTCTCATCATGACCTTGAACTAAGGACTGAAGTAAGTCTCAGAAACTGAAATCGTTCTGCGAGATTTAAGGCCAGTAGCACTCAGAAACAAGGACAGAAGAGCTTGTTTGTCACTCAGGAAGAGTAAACATGGCTCCCAGCAACCCCAAGTTGTGTTTTCCCTGATTCTAGGGTAGAGGGTCTGAGATGAGCATCAATCTCCTGTTAAAGCACAGGTTGTTGGGTGATTCTGTAGAAGTACAGTAAAGGTCCAACAATTTTCACTTCTTAACTAGTTTCAGATAATGCTAATATCCATATCATGCAAACAGTATCATTAATTTATATAGGGAAATGAGGTATGGCAAAGGAAGAGGGATAGGGAGGAGAAGAGGGAGAGAAGAGGTTTGTCCTGAAATGACATTGTTTTAGTATTTCATATATGAAGATGGGGTTTCTTCCAGGTGTTTTTAGGAAATTGCACTAAGCATTTTATATTCCATTATTTGTGCCACTTTCCATTGTTCAGTTTTAATTATTCTAGTTCATCAAATGAACAGATTTTACAGAAGGCTAGAGATGCCCTTTTTCTTGCTATAAAGTACATTGTGGTTTCTAGATCCCTCTTGGGTAGCCTGAGATCGGTGACTTTTGTATTGATAAATTCAGTAACTATTTCTTTGATTTGATCTCAGACATTTGTGGGGTGGAAAATTGGACAGAATTCTTACACTTGATTCTTAAGCTTAAGATTATAAAACAGATCAATCTGCTGTCTTATGAGCAAAGATAAATGCACTTTCTGTGGTATCTTCTTTGGATGAATGGTTTACCCAGGCCTTCCAGGAAGAATGAAGTATATCCCATGGCAGTTGTCCTGTGGTGGCGAAGGCCTTCCTTGCCATCTGTAGGATATGGCCTTGGCGGTGGCCTTTGGCTTTAAGGGTCAGCTGTGAAGTATCAGCAGGGTGCCCTGGGTGAATTAGTTTATAATAAAGCACTGTTTTGGCTCAGCCTAGTCCTAACCTCTGCTCCTTGTCCTCCCAGCCATTCATGATCCTGTGCAGAGAGCTCACCATGACTTGCTATGACCTAGATTGTGGCCTTGAATTTTTAACTGCTTTACTTTAGAGAGGCTTTAGGAGCTAGCTTGAATAGGAGCGTTCGTTCTTGAGATAACATCCCAGGGAAGAAATAGATTTTATATAATGTAGCACACAAACAGACTAGGGGAATGAAGTGGCCAGTCAGGACTTACTAATTCTTGTATTGCCAGATGGAATCTCAGTTGACCCTCATACTTTATCTCAGCTTTCCATTTGTGATTTGCTTTAGTGTAAGATGATTAACACTAGAGAAGCCTATCAGCAAATCAGAAACCTATTCAAAAATTCAAGTGTACCACTTAGTGTTTTAGTAGATAAAACTGCGAGGCCCAAACTAACTTGTTTTTCTGACAGCAATCAGCACTTGGTGAAGGGTAGAGACCTTTGGGATGTAATCCTTAAGAGTCAGTAGCTTATTTACATGGTTTCTCCCACTTAATATAAGTAGGGAAACTTTCCCATAACTTGATGTTTATATTTTGGGCGTTACCCCATTTTCACTGTTGGGATTTGTTCCAGTATGAGAAGCCTTTTTCCTTATCATCGTTGTTTACTTTCTGTAGCAGTGACTGGTGTGGAATCTCCTGAGAGCTGTTCATTATGATACTTTCTTTTGCTTTGGTCATCAGGGCTGTTATTAGTGGGTCACATAGTCTCAAGGACTATTCCTGGAATGCCATATTCAACCTTCCTACAGGGGTGTTTTTAAACAAAAGCCACAGTTTATATTGCATGAACTCAATAGTATTCATTTTTTCATATTACAACATTTTCCAATTTCAGAAATCAATGGATTTTAAACATGATGAACGTGTTTAATGTTCTGTAACCTAGTATATTAAGAGTATGTATCAGCTGATCCCATCTTAAGATAAAGCAATATATTTTCTTATACCAGAAAACATTTTCTGCCCAGTGCTGTCCAGCTGATAGAATTGAGTAGCAAATGAATTAGTTCAGCAGTTCCTAGAGTATATTAGAGGGATGCTACTAGGGTAAATGTTCATAGGTATGTAAAGGGCAAATCAATCTGGGAAGAACAATGTATTACATTCTCAATAGACTTTGAGAGGTATCACATTTAACAGTATTAATAAAATCACATTTCCAGGAACACAGGACATTTTTGAGGTTAAGCTGTGCACTGGTGAATCACACTTATAATCTTAGCTTAGATCCCAGGTGGCTAGTAGCCAAGGATTGTGGTTCAGTGCCAGCCCAAGCAGTTGAATCTATGAGACACTCATCTCCAATTAAAAAGCCATAAGTAATTAGGCAGTGGTGGTTCATGCCACCTAGCTACTGAAGAGGCTAAGATCTGAGAGTCATAGATTGAAGCCAAACTGGGCAAGAAAGTCTGTGAGACTCTTATCTCCAATTAACTATTCAGAAAATGCTGGAAGTTGTGCTGTGGTAGAGCACTAGCCTTGAGCAAAAGAAGCCCAGGGACCGTGCCCAGGCCCAGAGTTTAAGCCCCAGGATGGGAAAAAAAAGATGTAAGTAAAGATGTGGTTCAAGTGGTAAAGGTCCAACCTGAGCAAAAAAAAGACAAATAAGAGTGTAAAGCCCTGAGTTCAAGCCTTAGTACTGGTGCGCGTGCGCGCACACACACACACACACACACACACACACACACCACTTTTGATGTTTTATGTATATCTGATAGAATTTCATTACTGCATTAGCATAGCCCATCTACAGGCTTAGGAGGTTTTACCTAATATATCCTTAATGTATAGGGCACTTTATGGATTTTAATTTGGTAACGAACGCTAGAAGATTGTTATTTTTTTCTTTTTATTTTAGAGGAAAAGTTTGTGATGGGTAAGAAAGTCTTTGTGAAGGAGCTGGACTGTGATAATATAAATGATGATGTTATATCTTTCTACGGAG